TTACAAAGACCAAAAGTAAAAGGCTACTTAAAGGTTTTAAAAATATATTCATTCAGCAAAACATTTTGCAACATACTGTAATCACAACTTCATAAAAATAGTACAATATGGTAATGGATCAAATCACGTCACATCCGTAGTCTCAATGTGCTAGTCAATCAACAGAACAGTGCTTTCCAAGTGCAGGTCAAGTCAAGTCATTCTAATGTTGTGATTCAATGATCAGGAGACAGTACCAGGAAACCTAAACAATGACAAGGAAACGGTACCAGAACCTGGGTCATCCCTGAGATTGAACCCAAACTGCCTGTGCCTTCCAATCCATCCCACTGCAGGATTTTTCTGCAAACCAGCACTTTTGTTGCTTAGTTGACAACAGGTTTGGTGCAAGAAATGAAAATGTGGGCCGCATCACAGGGCAGCCAAGGAGTCTAAGGAGAGCACTGGGAGGACAGGAAGTCACCAGACTGCAGGCTACTGGTGCTTATCTTCTTGTCTTCCACCTCTGCCAGACCTAAGCTACTGCAGCCAAGCTGGAAAACTGTGCGTCGTCTTCAAATAATATATAAACACTTTTGATCAAAACTCACACCTCCTGGAATCCTGCGTGTGTGAAGTCCTGATTTGTTCAGCTGAAAACGAACACACTGAGAAGGGCCATGCTGAAGTCTGCACCAAATTCATGTGGGTTAATGAACAAAACAGACAGCAGTCTGGAAACTTCAAAGCAAGTATGCAGTTTGTACTGCAACACTGAGGCAGCAACCACTTATATTTTTGCTGTAATTATAAATCGTAATCATTCATTTAGAAGACACCCTTATCGCAGAGGTGAAAGGGTGAGCTCTGCATCAACAATTGTAGTTCTTACTACAGAGCCTTGGCCTTAAAATTCACCAGGAGGACTAATGCGCGCAGGCTCACACATGGTGGGTCACTGGGGACAAGCCCGTCTCTAACCTCTGACCCAGATACTTTTAGTTTTGTATCAGGGATGTCTTGAGCTAAACCCAGAACACAGCCGTGCTTGGCAGCAGCCCCTGGCTCAGCTTTAGCAGATGCCTGAGGGAGCAGCATCATTTGCTGAGCAAAGGTCAGGGTAAACTGAAAGCTGCATTTCAGTCACGCATCAGGGATCTTAAAACCCATCGTAAAACCCAGACCGTGTTGGAGAGGAGGTGGAATAACCAGAATGATGTCCAGCGTGAAGGAGGGTCTCTTAATTAATGGCACATTTTTATCTTTGCTTTATTTTGATTGATTTTTTTTTTCTTTTCCCGCAATACTTGTAAAATCTATGGTTAAAAATCAACTGGTGCAAAAAAAACAGCTGGGGGCACCAACCCAGCTCAGTCCAGTTTTGGGGCTCGTGTCTGCAGCGGCCGGTGCAAGTGGGGTCGGGGAAGCTGGGGGGCGGGGGGCCCCCTACCTGCCGGCCTCGGGGTGCACAGCTCTCCGGACGCTCTCGCGGACGGGATGGGCGAATCCCGGGCGGCGCACGAGGGGCGCCGGCGTGGAGACGACAAAGAGGCCTTGCAGGGCCTGGGGGTCCGGGCTGACGTGGGGGTACAGCAGCCCCCGCTGGCCGGCCGGGGCCTCGGAGAAGCGCAGGCGCCCGCGGACCTCCGAGTACGAGGAGCTCATGCTGCCCAGCCGGGCCTGCTTGCCCAGGGCGGCGGCGGCGCCGGCTGCGGGGGCGAGAAAGAGGGGAGGCGCTGGGGGCTCTGAGCTGTAACGGAGCCACGAGCACAGAAACAGGGGGGGGGGAAGGGCTCCAGCCAGGAAAATCCCGGAGCGCAGGAAGAGATAAGGAAAGAAATGTAGACGGGGAAAGATGGAGAGCGAGAGAAATAGGGAGGGGGAGGAGGCAGAGTGAACAAATGAGGGAGGAAATGAGACCTCGTTTACAACACAATACGTGCTGACGCAGACGCAGACGCAGCGCTGAAGCGGCATTGACAACCATAGTAATGGCACATGTACTCGTCTAATGTAGTAATAATAATAATAATAATGTTTCTTTATTAGCCCTATATAATTCCTATACAATTTCTTGCATTAGGAATTCGTCTTTTCGCAGACCCCAGCTTTCCTCCATGGAGACACAGACAGGGAGAGAAGCTGGGGGTCAGAGCGCAGGGTCAGCCATTGTACAGCGCCCCTGGAGCAGTTGGGGTTAAGGGCCTTGCTCAGGGGCCCAACGGAGTAGGACTCCTCTGCCAGCCGTGGGATTTGAACCAGCAGCCTTCCAGTCACAGGCGCAGATCCTGAGCCACAGAGCCACCTCTCCGCCCAAAACGCTTGTCAGAAGTGGGATTCGAACCCACGCCTCCATTCGGAGACCAGAACACCCATCGTTCACGGAAGGTATCGAAACCTTGAGTCTGGCACCTTAGACCACTCGGCCATCCTGACAATTAGTCTAGTAAGTCCGTACTGAGAGACAGGAAATCTCTTTGCAGAAGATGAGAGGGAGATAACAAGCTTTATAGGAGAAGAGAAACAGGGGCAAAATCGGGAATGCAGATGCCAGGGATGGCTGTGCACTGACTTGTCCTGGGGATCCTGTGCGCGCTGGTGGCCCTCCGGTACTGAGCGGGCCCACGTGGCGCCCCCTCCTGCGCCATCTCTTCTGGGGCCCTGATGCGCAGTGCCCCGGCTGGCCCGCACTGGCCCGGCTCGGGCGGGCTCCTCTCTGGTCCCAGGCCCAGCGCCAGGCCCGGCCAGCGCTGCTGCGCCAGCCCCTGGGGAGGCAGGTACTGGAGACACAGGCTCCCCTCGGGCCCCCCAGGACACTGGGCCACAGGCAGAGAGGGGCCCGGCTGAGCGAGAGGCCTCCTGGAGAGGTCCGCCAGGGACTCCAGCTACGACAAGAGCAGCATGTCAGACGCCTTCTTGGCAGAACTATAAAACACAGAGATTCACTCATCAGGTGGTAGGAAACCTCAGCCTAATCCAGTGCTGGGACAGCGATCCCAAAGGGTCCCGAAACACAGGCGTCCCTCACTTTATGAAGTTCCGATCTATGCTAATTCGCTTTTATGCGACTGACCCTTTCTTCCAAGTATCCTCTTTATGCGAAACAAAAATCACTTTCATGCGAACTGTGGCGGTAGAGCAAATTCCTGCGAAACGTGGTCTTGATAACATCCTGACGCCTTACAAGGAACCGTAGGCAGAGAACTGGCTCGGCAGACTTTATGCAGTTCCTCAGGCCACAGACTTCATCTCCTGCTCCAGGGATATCCTCATCCATCATCAGCACCCACATCTCGTCCCCTGGAGCCTTACCGTCGGCCTATCTTGGTGCGCGTTTATTTATTTTTAGTTAAAATAATGTCCCAAATTACATTTATGTTAAGTTTAGTGTTAATTCTTAATGTATGTTGGCATGTATTTATATGATTAAGATGCATCTGGAACACTGCATTTAACACCCTTCCACTTAATCCCGTTTTTTCCGCAGGATTAAGCGGTATGCCTTATGCGATTTCCCCTTATGCGGGATTTTCGCAGAACGTAACCCTCACATAAAACGGGGGATGCCTCTATAAGCGGCTACGCCCCAGCCCTGCAGGTAATAATAGTAATAATAATTAATTGCTTACACTTATATAGCCCTTTTCTGGACACTCTACTCAAAGCGCTGTACAGGTAATGGGGATCCCCTCCACCACCACCAGTGTGCAGCCCCACCTGGATGATGTGACGGCAGCCATAGTGCGCCAGAACACTCCCCACACATCAGCTATCAGTGGGGAGGAGAGCAGAGTAATGTAGCCAATTCATAGAGGGGGAGTATTAGGAGGCCATGATTGATAAAGGCCAGGGGGGAAATTTGGCCAGGACGCCGGGGTTACACCCCTACTCTTTTCAAGAAACACCCTGGGATTTTAATGACCACAGAGAGTCAGGGCCTCGGTTTTACGTCTCACCCAAAGGATGGCGCTTGTTTACAGTATAGTGTCCCCGTCACTATACTGGGGCATTAGGACCCACATGGACTGCAGGGTGAGCGCCCCCTGCTGGCCCCACTAACACCTCTTCCAGCAGCAACCTTAGTTTTTCCCTGGAGGTCTCCCATCCAGGTCCTGACCAGGCTCACACCTGCTGAGCCCCAGTGGGCTGCCAGCTGTGGGTTGCAGGGTGATATGGCTGCAGACAGGTGGGACTGAACTGTTTCAGCAGGAGGGAGATCAGGGCGTGGCTCTTACCTGGGGGGCGAGGCCCCCGGCGTGGGGGGTGGCCCGCAGCAGCTGGCACACCCGCTCCACGACGCCCAGGTCCCGGATGAGGCTCGCCCGGCGCAGCAGCCCGCTCATCCTCTCCACCTCCTCCCCTTCCTCCTCCTCCTCTTCCTCCGAGGCGCCTGGGAGCAGCCCCTGGTCTGGGGGGCGCTCCAGCAGGGAAGGCACCGAGGCCAGCTGCAAGACAGCACAGAGCCGTGAGCGCCCCCTCCTGTTCAGCATGGGTAGTGCCCCACGCCAGTGGCTGGGCTGGGGAGGGGGGGGGTCCACAGGCTAGGGGGCGGGTCAGAAGCTGAATAAGAGGGGTACTCACGGAGAGCCGCAAGGGCGTGGCGGGTCCCCGGGCTGGACGCGGGGGCGCTCTCCGGCGCTTGGCCCTCTCTCCGGCGGACTCCCCCTGCAGCTCGCGCCTGCTCAGGCCCCTCAGCACGCCCTGCTTCTGCTCCTGCCTCGCCCGCAGCTCCTGCAGCTGCTGCCTGCAGGAGGGGGGCAGCTCAGGGGCAGAACACCATAGAGCACACAGAGCGCGGGGGTACATAGGGGGTACATGCCGCCCCGAGCAAGCGCAGGAAAACCAGGGTGGCGAACGCAAGGGAAAAACAACACCGAAACCTGGAACTATATTACACATTTGCACAAGGTGTCGTGGTCTCGTGACAGTGCCCATCGAGAGTGAACAGTGTGAGCTCAAGAGATAATCCCGAGTGCGGTACAGCGCACCGTCACGAACAGAGCAGCTCCGCAAGTCCGGAGAGCTCGTCTGTGCAGACGCTCCTGGAACTGGAAGGCTGCTTGCACCAGCAGCTCAAGTGCACAGAGCCAGAGGGCAGGCATTTACTAAACGGTGGCTCAGGATCTGAGCCTGTGACTGGAAGGTTGCCAGTTCAAATCCTGCAGCCGGCAGAGGAATCCTACGTTGGGCCCCTGAGCAAGGCCCTGAACCCGAACTGCTCCAGGGGTGCTGTACAATGGCTGACCCTGCGCTCTGACCCCCAGCATCTCTCCCTGTCTGTGTGTCTCGTGGAGAGTATGCAAAAAGACAAATTCCTAATGCAAGAAATTGTATAGGGCCAATAAAGCAACATTATCAACATTATCATTAAAGGCAGAAGTCTGACGAAGTAAACGGGGTGCCGAAGCCCCCTTATTGAAATGAACCCCACTGCCCTCGGTTCTATGCCTTCTTTTCCTCCCCGCTGTGGGAGGATCAGGAGCGTTCCGCTGCTGCAGCCCCGTGCCCCCCAGCGCCCCGCGCCCCCCCCCCGCCCGTACCTGGAGCACTCCTCCCGCGCTCTGGAGGCCGCCGTCTCCTGGAAGAGGGAGCTGCTGTGCTGGAAGTACTTGCTGTACTTCTCGCCGTCCGGCCGCGGGTAGATCCGGCGGAAGCCGCCCAGGTGCCCGTCCTCGTAGCGCTGCATCTGCGCCACCCAGGCAGCCTGGCACTGACGCATCTCCTCGCTCCTGCGGGGGCGCAGGGGGGCGTCACAGTGAAAGCTCATGCGCCCTGAAACACTTCATATCCGCCCTTGTTGACTCACACCCCGATTGACAGAATC